AGTTCCCGAGGCTAGAAGTCCAAAATAAAGGTGTCTGTTGGGCACTGCTTTCCCAGCCTCTAGGGGAAGACAGTCCCTGGCCTCTTCCAGCTTCTGGTAGCCCCCAGCATTCCTGTCACTCCAGTGGTCACCATCTTTCTCTATGCTTGTCTGGGTCCAACTTTCTTCTTCTCCTAAGGACACTGGTCTTACTGGATTCAGTGCCCATTCTATGCCAGTATGACCTAACCCGCTATTTTAACCTTCCTCTTCTGAAAGTGGCAGATGCCCCCAGGAATCCAACAGGTGACCTCTTTGTTCATGGGTCAACACTCAGCCACTGAGCCACACTGGACAGGCTTAAAAATCAATCTGTTTTGTGATACATTTATGAAATTTTATTCATGTACAATATACATGCAGAAAATTGCTCAAATTATTACATGCACACTTAAGGAATTTTCAAAGTGGATCTTCCAATGGAACCAATACCTGTACATCAAGATACTGAACATGAGCAGCTCCTGTAGCCTCCCTCATGCTTCCCACCCCTCCACCCATTCTCATCACTACCCCTCCCAGGGCTGTTCATTATCCTGACTTCTCACTAGCCTATGACATGGACCTCACACCAACAGTCTCTGTGAACTTTCCACAAAGAGAATGATAGAGTATATGTTCTTTGTGTCTGCTTTTTTTCACTCAACATTATCTTGTGAGATACATTCCTATTGTCACTTTCATCACTGTAATACTCCATCGTGTGATGAGCACTATTTATTGATTTAACTGTTAATAGTGGTGCTGTGAACTTCCTAGAAAGTATATCTGGGTGCACAAAGGTACTCATTTTTGTTGGGTGTAACCTAGATTGTAATTGTTGATCATATGGAACTGCCTGGGTTCCCTTTACTGATGATGAAAATGAGAGTATAAGAAAGGGCAGAGATTTCTCCGCAGTCACTCAGCTCCTGAGTCAGGCCTGGAACTTGGATTATTACCTCCTTAGTAACCTAGAGATTCCGCAGAGTCTCACACAACACACATTAACTCATGAGTTGTCCTTATCAGCTGAGCCTTAGGTAAGACGAGACTGATGACCAAACACGAGAAGGGTAGCTGATCATTGGTGCCAGCACCGTAAATACCAATTCACATGGGAGGAAGCTGGTGCTGGCTCTTCCCTACATCTGATCAAAGAACAGTGAGCGATGTGTGTCCCTGACTAAAATAGATTTCAACTCAGCCTCCTACAGGGCCAGGCCCTGTGCAAGGTGCTTCTCCCATATATCATCTCATTTAATCTCCTGAATAAGAAACAGATCACCTCACATCCATAAGTACTCTAAAAGCATAATATCAAAAAGAGTATCTATGCCGAAACCAGTTTGGCTCAGTGGATAGAGCGTCAGCCTGTGGACTGAAAAGTCCCGGGTTCGATTCCGGTCAAGGGCATGTACCTTGGTTGTGGGCACATCCCCAGTAGGGGGTGTGCAGGAGGCAGCTGATCGATGATTCTCTCATTGATGTTTCTAACTCTCTGTCCCTCTCTCTTTCTCTCTGCAAAAAATCAATAAAATATATTTTTTAAAAAAAAGAGTATCTAAACTGTAAGCAAACTGGAGTAGTTTAGAATATTGCTTTTCAAATAATATATGGTGAAGGATCAATCCATCATATAGAGCACTATTTTTGTAAAATACTAGTATAATAAAAAATGAATTATTAAAAAAATAAGAAATGCAAAATATAAGCTTCCAATTTGTATTATTAAATTAAACAACTATAAAGTTATATTGTTAAATTATAAAAGTTTTTATTTAAAAAAATATTTTTTTTTATTAGTTTCAGAGAGGAAGGAAAAGAGAGAGGTAAAAACATCAATGTTGAGAGACAATCATTGATGGGCTGCCTCCTGCATGCCCCACACTGGGAATCGAGCCCACAACCTGGGCATGTGCCTTGACCAGGAATTGAACCTTGACCTTCTGTTTCATAGGTTGATGTTCAACCACTAAGCAACACTGGCCAGGCTAAAAGTTTCTAAACACTCCCAGTTTCTACACTTTTACCATTGAGGACCAATAACACAGTTTGCAGAAAAATACTGGTTTTCAGACTACACTTTGAATAGCACTGATTTCATAATTTACCACCCATTTCACCTGGGCCTTTCAAGAGGGAGTAATCATTACCTCAGAGGCAAAGGTTTGGATAACAAGACACCTGCATAACACTGAGCCCTGGAACCATTCACTGTCCACATTAACGAGACTTTCCCATCCCCTGTCTTTACCAACGTGACTTTATTCCACAGAATATGTAAAAGATAAAAGTTACACATAACTACATAACTTTATTGTTATTTTCAAGAACTTACCTTCAAATCTCATGGAAATGAACAGAAGACCCTTAAACTTTTCAATAGATAGTGCTGAAAAGACTATTTAATCTCTAAGACTCTTAGAAAGTCATGGCTTGTGTCCAGTAATCTTACACTATTTTATCACAATCCTTAGTGAAAATTAACTAAGCACCACCTCAGGAAAGACCTGTCTTAAACCAAATTCCAAAACCTTTCAATGATCCTACTCTGCCCCGGCTCCTTTCCACTCCAAGATGTTACTAAGCTGTGAAGGCAGGCTCTCCTCACCGTCGTGTACAGTAAACTCAGGTTTGCCTTCTCCACAGCTTGTTTTGCTGGTATTTTCTGGGAACCAGCATTCAACAATCAGGGCTTGCCTTGGTTGATTCCTTCTTTTAGTCTTGCCCAGCGGCTTCCAAACTTTAGTGTGCATAAAAATGACCAAAGAGGGCTGTGTATGCAAAAGCATGCATGCACAATTTAAGAGATCTCCATGTATAACTCTGACTGTGCCATATTTAGGACCTAAGCCCTGCACAAGATGTCAGCAATTGGTAAAGAATAGAGCATCATGGGATGTTAGAGCTGAAAGTGGTTTTAGGTGTCAAATCTGAGCACGTGGATCAACATCACCTGATGTACGTAATTCCTGTAAAAAAAAAAAATGCCTATCTCTTGGTTTTAGCTCAAATGTACTCAATCAGAATTTCTAGAAATGGGGGCCTGTGAATGTTTGTAACAAACTCCCTAAGGGACTGAGATGCACAAGCAGGTTTGAGAACCTCTATTCTCTTCCATTTGGTAGATGAAGAAATAGAGACTCAGAATGGGAGTCAGCGTGCCTAAGATCCCATAGCTATTGAGCTGTGTTTCTCATGATTCTTTGACAATGTTCCCAGGGCTGGAGGTCAGATTTTGGAGGTGCCCTCATGCATCTAATATCCTGAACATGTACGATAATGATGTAATCAAAACCATTCTATTTTGCTTCTTAACATCTCTTTTCAATTTATCAGGGGGTAGGGGTGGGGGCATAATCTTCTGCTCTGGGGTGCAAGTTCTAGCAGTCCTCGTGACTTCTCTGCTCCCCGTTAGGTAAGAGGCACAAGGTAAAGTATAACATTCAAAAAAAAAAGTAAAACTTGGACTTTGCAGCAAAGATAAAATGAACACATATTCTGCTTAATCTATTGACCATCTTGTTAGTTACATTTTTGTTCTCAGAAATTGCTGCTTATTAGTTTTCTCATTAGCTCAGGTGAAAGGCAGGTGAACTATTTAAAAAGTTTAAGAACATGTCCTCGGCGGGACGCACAGCTGGCTGGCTGAGGACACGTAGGCACTGGGAAGGGGTTCAAGTTTCAGGCAGCTACCCCCCACATTATTCAGACCTCTTGGCTTCTTGAGACCACTACTTTGCTCCATTCTTTTGGTTTCTACCCATCAGCATGTGGCTAAAAATGGACACCCAATCGTAAGTCTGCAGGATCATCACTAACTTCTCAACTTTGGACAAGTCCAAGCTAATTCAGGTTCTTGATTGAGTCCATCTTACTGGCTGATCTCCAGGCAAGCATTAGCAGCGCTTTGGGTCAGGTCACTCAGCTGTAGCTACTTGGAGGAAACATAGTTGTCAAAGGGCTGGGTGAGTGTGTGTGTGTGTGTGTGTGTGTGTGTGTGTGTGTGTGTGTAAGAGACAGAAGAGGCCAAGTGAGAACTTAAAGCGGGCATGCTTAATAAAACGTGCCCTTGAATCATTTCCAGCACGAGTCCTTGAAACACTGTCAAGAACACCCCTGTTATCCCAAATAAGTCTGGTTGTCCTTCTGTTGATTTTATTAAATTGGGGGGGTAGGGAGGTGGGGGGAGGGCGTTGTCTTACAGGATGTCATGATTGTACCTTCCCATTCATGTTTACACCAACATTTGGGAACCTCCTTTGCACAAGCCACTGAACTGCTAGAAGCAGGGATGTCTCTAAGAAGTCTGGGCCCTGTGCTTATGAACTTCAAGCCTCTCAGTTTGGGATATGGAGTGAAGAGGAGGTTGGATGTGCCCACTTACGGCACAGCTGGGACCAAGTGCAGGAACAGTCAGATGTGCCCAGTTGGTGGGGTCTAAACACATTTTGGTTCACTCTATTTCTCTCCAAACTCCCTTTTGGGCACAAGACATGGGCCTATTAACTGCAAAGATAGAGAAAAGCTGGGGTATAAAGCAAGCACCTGAGTCAAGACCCTGGGCGACAGAGTAACAGGTGGGTTAAGTTCAGCAATCACTGCACCGGTGGTGGATTTGTGCAAGGATCCGGGCTGGGTGCGGAGGAAATGAAGCTTTTAGGCTCCAGCGCTCCCAGGCTTGAGGGTCCCTCACACATCCACCGGTAAGGCTGCACATCCTCCCGGCTTTGGGCAGCCCAACGGCGCAGAGAGCAGGCCTGCCTGGAGCTAGGGCCCGAGCGCACAGCTAGCTCCCCGCAGGGCGGAGGGCGGCGCGAGGGAGGGAGAGAGGGAAGGGAAAGGCGAGCGTGAGCTGCCTTACATGCCTGGAATAATTCCGCTTCCGTTTGGAAAGCCGCAGCCTCAGTCCCGCCGCGCCCGCCCAGCGCCAGCTCCGCGTCCCGACCGACCGGCCCGCGGCTGTCTGCGCCACCGCCATGGCCTCTTCCCCGCAGAAGTCGCCCTCGGTCCCCAAGTCCCCCACCCCCAAGTCGCCCCCATCCCGGAAGAAAGATGACTCCTTCTTGGGGAAACTCGGAGGGACGCTGGCCCGGAGGAAGAAAGCCAAAGAGGGTGAGTGAGTGGGGCCGGGCCGCAGCGCGCTCCGAGCGGCGGGGGCTGGGGTCCGCGGGGCTGGGGCTCCGGCTCGGCGGGGGCGCGCCGCGGGTGCCCGGCGGGGAGAGGGGCGCGGTGACGCGTGCGCGCGCTTCCCGGGCCGGTGGTGGCGGGCCCGGTGCGCCCGGCTGCTCTGCGCCATCCTGTGCTGCGCTCCAGGCCGTGGCGGCGCCCGGGGGAACAGCCGGGGCCTGAGACCCGGCACCGCCCGCTCCAGGGCCAGGGCTGGGGCCGCGTGGCCGGAGAGCCCGGGATGGCCGGCCCGCCAGCCGGGAGGCGGTCGGTGTCCGCCTCCACGTAGGCCCCAGGTCCCCGCCCTCCAGGCGCCCGAATGCGGGCCTTTCTCAAGTTTCTGCGGAGACTTTTTCTGGGCGCCTTCACTCTTGCCTTTTTTTTTTTTTTTTTCTTTTTTTTTGCCTCTCGTTGATCTTTGAAATCAGGTCGTTTGTTGGAGTCCAGATGCAGCGTTTGGCCTCTTTGGATCTTGCCCATTTCCAGGGCCCAGTGGGGCTCTCCTCAGGAGGAGGTCGAGATCAAATGTTTGTTGAATGAATGAGGGAAAGGCTGGTGTTCCAGGCGGTCCCCCCAGGATGAGGCGCGCACACTTAGCATCATGGCCATGACCCTTCTGTGAACTCAGGAGTTTAGAAGCTCTTGCAAAAACCATTTCCTTTTCCATCCCCGGTGAACTGAAGTGCTTATTATTATTTTATTTTTTTTTTTACTCCAGGATAATTTGCCTTTGCCTGTAAAATAGTTTGTCTCATGGGCTCGCATCCTGGCTTTGGATTTGAAAAATGAAGTGACAGTTCTGAAGAAGCTAGTGATCGATGGGTAGATAGAAGCTGCTTGGTTAATTTTTCTTTTTTTCATAGACTGCTCAGTGGTGTGGGGATAACCCCTTTGAAGGCTGTGCTACTGAGATGGAAATTTCATGTTCCTGAGTTACTTTAAAGTATAAGAAAAGAACTTCGTTGTTCAGTATCATCCAAGTTGATACAAAGGGCTGGACTTCCATGCCTTATCTTGAAGTGAGAAACGGCGACACATCCCCCCAGATGTTTTCCCCTATTTGGTTATTTTGGTAAACCATGGAGTAGTATGCAGTTGGTAGCAAATCAAGAAATCCTGACTCGGAGAGGCTTTTTCTAGACCATCTTCTCTTTCCTGCAGTGTTCCTGATGTGGACTCTCTGACTTAAGACTGGGCAAGTCGGAATTCCTGGAGCTCATGACCTCCAAGGAGAGCTCACCCCACCTCTGCCAGCTCTTTAGAAAAGTTTAATTTGCAGTAAAGTAAAAGCGTGGTCTCTGTGTTCACGGAGCCAGGAGAATGAGTCTGATGGTGGCCGTCCACTTATATCAGGTGGACTAGCCCCGTGGTCGGCAAACTGCGGCTCGCAAGCCACATGTGGCTCTTTGGCGCTTTGAGTGTGGCTCTTCCACAAAATATCACGGCATGGGCGAGTCTATTTTGAAGAAGTGGCATTAGAAGAAGTTTAAGTTTAAAAAAATTTGGCTCTCAAAAGAAATTTCATTCGTCATGGTACTATTGATAGTTGGCTCTGTTGACTAATGAGTTTGCCGATCACTGGACTGGCCTATTTCCCCTCACCAGGCCAAACATTTCTGTTCCTCGAGATTGTCCTCAAGATTTTGTGGCTTGCTGCCATCCTACCTCTTCTATTTCTCTCAGGGTCCCCGAAGGAAACAGAAGGTCAACTTAGTTGGGACTTTGAAAATCATGAAGGGAGGGACTATTTACAGAGTTATGGGCAGGGGTAAGGGAACCCAGAGGGATGATGAGGAATCCAGGGACTAGCAGCAGACGGGGATGGGAGACTGTGACCACCCCTAGATCCGAAGGGATGAGGGGAGCAAACCAGAACCCACTGAGGGCTGGAATTCTGGAAGTGGGGCTGCCTGACAGGAACTGCAGGGGTTCAGGGACACAGCTGCTGTCAGAAACGTGGAGGTGGATGGAGCAGGGAGACGTAGCACAAGTGAGTTCTGCATGTTCTCTCTCCTGTCCCTGAATCTCTCGCTGGTCCTTTGGATTGGCTGGTCCCAGGTGGAAGTCACCAGCACAAAGGATTCTGGGTGATGTAGGGGTCAGAGCAGAGTAGAGAACAGATCATGGTGGGGGGCAATGGGGAATGACAGACCCTCTCAAAGTGAGCTGCCCAGAAGTCAACACAGTACAGTAAGTAGTAGTCCAGTGCAGCCAGCCATAGTGGTCACCTCCTTTGTTCTAGCCTGGCCAAGGCTGCTCTTATTCCCGTCACCACCTTCATCACATGGAGATTATCAGCTGAAAGACATTTTTATGTTTGTTGCTCCTAAATCATTCCCTTCCCCATCTCAGGTTTACTCAGTTGGGTTTTGTTAAACCAAGTGCAAGATCCTTTTAATCCTCTGTTATACGTAACTGTTAAGTCCTGACTCTGTCATTCAGTCAGTTAGCTAATTCAGGCGGTGTAAATGGTTCATTGAAGAATGCATGCTTTTCCTAAAAGGGCCGGCCCTCACCAGCTCCAGCTGCTTGCTGTTGCATGCCACCACGAGCCCAGCCAAAGAAGGCAATGGGGCAGGTTTGAAATGACTTGCACTTGGTGGTGGTCGTGGGGGAGGGGGGTGCTGGGTCTCGGTGATCAGTGCTTGACTTTGTCAGGGGCCCACTAGACCATCATTCCAGTAAGGTTAGATCTTGCCCCAGATCATGCATAATCTCACAGCTCTGTGCTTTGCAGAAACTGCCTTCTTCCACTTTACCTCTAGTGTTCTAAAATCTCCCTTTCTTCATGATTCCTCAAGATCACGATGTGGGTCTAGCCACAAATTATTTCAGTGCTTTGGCATAGAATTCTCCTGGCCCAAGGACTATCTTCATTCGATATCTGTTGTGCCCCTCTGTAGTATACAAAGACTGGAAGGACATAATACATGTTAGCAATTAAAGTCAATAGTTTCATATAAAAACTAGTGACCCGGTGTGCGGATTCCAACACATTGAAAGGAAATTAATTAGAATGTGGCTGATGGGGTCGGACATAACCCTGGAGCCAACCTTTCCCCTTTCCCCTCCCCGGTGTATGCGGAATGAGTGGGGTCTCTCTGGCAAGTGGGGTCCCTTAGCCTGGCCTGCAGGGATGGGGCCAAAACTGGCTCTCTGACATCCCCCAAAGGGTCCCAGAGTGTGAGAGGGCACTCTGCAAAGTTGCTATCATATAGGGTATGGAACGCAAATGCAAGTGCGCAGTAAACCAGATTTGGGGCCGACAGTGCCCCAGCAACAACATAACCCACGGCTGAAGGTGGAATCACATGGCCACATGAGGAATCAGGCTCCCACCTCTCTGGTTTTGGGGTGCCTCACCCAAGAACCGCCCCTGCCAAGTCACTGCAACAGGGCAGCTCCTGCGTTGTACGTCTGTCCAATGGTGGTCATTGCATGACATTGCAACCAATCAGATGGAAGGAGGGACACTTAGCATTAGTCTTTCATATGTATAGATGAACCTTCCTAAGAGTACTTTCTAGCATAATCATGGGATATTATAAATCTCATAAGAATACACTGAAAATAATCATCACTCCAGTGTTTTCATAAGGAAGAAAATAGCATTAGAGAGGCAAGAGATAATAGGAGTTAAAAGTATGGCCTTTACGATTAGGCAGCTTTGAATTTGATTTCTGCTCTCCTTATTTATTGCTGTAATTTAGGACAAGTGTCTTAATCCCTCAAAGCCTTTGTTCATCTATAAAATAAGAATAAAAATGCCTTCCTTACATGGAGGATGTGAGGTTAAATGAGATAAATATGCATAACATGGCACAAATAATAGCTATTAAAAATGACAGCTCAATTTTACAGTCTTTACGTGTTGAAATAGTCTTTCATTGGGGACCATAGAGGATGCTATAGGTTCTGCAAATAGCCTAGTAGCCCATGACTGTGTGAAGCCCATGGAATCACTGTTTGGATTCCTTTGGAAATTAGGGATCTTTTTTTGCAAGTCAGATCATCCTATTTACAAAATGTCACATTTCAGCACTGCAAACACCTGAGCCCCTTCCAGTGCGTTGTAGCTCACTAGAGCAGCGGTTGCCAACCAGTGGCCTGTGGTTTGTGAGGTCTGAAAGGTTGGCGACCCTTGGCTTAAGGAAACAGAGGCTTTTGGTTTTCTCTGTGGATCTCCTCTTTGGGGTTCCCAGTCCCCATTGATGCCCCACACGCCCTCATGGGGAGCCTTTCAGACTCCACATGCCAAACTTTTCACTTTGCTGCTTCCAGATCTGTCCCCAAGGCTTGCTCTTTCCATGAACACCTTCTTCAATGTATTTGCCAGCTGACAGTGCCCTACATTGGGTCAGCAGTTATGGTTATTCCTATCATTTACCCATTTGTTTATTATTTCTCAGAGATTTGCATTTTGTCTAGATTCTGAAGTGTTTATAATTTTTATAACAACCGTAGGACTTACCACTCTGGTTCTCATTGGCTGTCCAGTAAGAGTGGGGAAATCTCCACTTCTGCCACAGATGTATGGTTTCTGAAGTAAGCAGCCGTGGCATGGCAGCCGTCCTTCTCTCCGAATCAGCTTGTGTTCTCGTTTTCTGTAGTGCCTCCTCTAACCCTCACCATGCAAGCTCTTCCCCAGACTTTGAGATAGAAAACTGAGTATCAGGTGTGAGTTTATTCAATTTCCCTTTAGCACCCCTATCCCCACCTGACCCCCTTGTCTGTACCTCTCCTTTCACACCCTATCCCTTCTATGGATATCCCCTACCCCTTGCTCAGGGGCTATTCATTCCCTCTTTCTCCCAGACTTGGCAGAGCCAGTTATCCTTTTCTCATAGCCTCAGTCCTTTTCATGCTGCCCAGCTCTCCTAACATTCTGCAAATATGCGTGAGTCTTGCCCATTTGAAGAAAATATCCTGATACTGGTTTCCTCTTA